CAGCCCCACAGTGAGGGGAGCAGAGGGCAATCACAGCCCCACAGTGAGGGGAGCAGAGGGCAATCACAGCCCCACAGTGAGGGGAGCAGAGGGCATGCTAACACAAATATCTAAGCAGCACCCCCAGGCCCATGCCCGGCTGTGCACGTTTTCCAGCAAGGGCCCAAGCCTGAGACGGGAGCTGCAGGTCAGTCCATCCTCTGATGGCTTTTCCCCCCGACAGACTTTTTCTCTCCTTTACCATTTCAACTAAAGCTCCTCTACTCCTCAGAGCTCACCTTGCCAGAGCCCCGCTTGGGCACACCCCTGTCACCGCCAAAGAAGCGCCCGATGGAGTCAAGGATGCCCGTGTCTCTGTGCCGGGGCAGGAAGCCATGCCTGGCATGGTCCATGGTGCTCGCTGTGGCCAGGTACTTGGATCCGTGTCTCTGGGAGGGCCTCTTCTGTGTTGCCATCACATCCAGGCCCTCGGGAGCAGCTGCACTGTCTTCGTGGATGGTCTGGAGCTCGTCCGACTCGGAGGGCCTGTCTTTGAAGGTGTTGTCCTCCCTCCCGGGGGCATCTCGGGAAAAGAGGCGGACCAAGTGGGGGCGGCGCCCCGGGTCAGCTGGGCGGGCGTCCTGCCAGGCATTCTTTGGGTCCACTGTGTGCTTGGAGTCTGTCACCGCTGTGTCCTGAGAGGAGGCCCCATTGTTCTGGTCCGCATCTGCCTCTCCTGCAAACAACAATGAGACATGAATACGGGCCTGTGCAAAGCAGCGCGGGACAAAGCTGCTTTCTTGCAGGGGTCTCTAACTAGCTGCCTCTTGTTAAGCCCACGGAGTGTGTGTGGGGCCCTCAGCCTGAGACTGACTTTGCAGAGGAAACAGCATGGGCATCCTGGCTGCGGCTCTGCTTTTTGGAAGGCCCTAGGATTACCTCAGTCACTCGGTATTTGGTGCTCTGGGTGAGGCGGGCAGGGCCTCCTAATGAAGTGGCCTGAGCACACAGCAGCTGCATGGCAAGTGTCTCTGTGGGCGCTGCCCGGCTGCACTTGGACAGCCCGGGGGCAGGGAGCTCACGGGACATTGTTCCCAAAGGGCCACCGGTGAGCAAACGAAACTCACTGGGAGCGTTCCTCTGACAAAAGGTGTTTTTGGTAGAAATGGAACTTCCCACATCCTTTTCCAATTCATGCTTTGAAGAAATGGGGCATTTAGAATTCCTTCACTCCCAGATTCCACGAGGGCCTCACACATCAGAGTTGCTTGCTTAGCACATTTCCATCTGGCTTCTCCTCTGTGCAATAACAATTACAGCGTTTATAGGAGCAATGTGGTATACATACCACCACCACATAGCTTTTCACCAAAAATAGAGCTTTCTCTCAAAAATGGCAATAAAATCCATTTGCTCACAAGTTATAGGAAGTTAGGTTTAAATGAACATCAGTTAGTTGGTTTCCTCCCCAAATTCTATTACTTACCTACAGAAAACGTGAATTTCCTCACACGTTCCTGTAATATCATCCATCTATCCATTCATCCACCTACCTACTAATTCATACACCCATGGACCAATCCATCTACCCATTCATACACCCATCTACCAATGAACTCATCTATTCACTCATCTACTAATCTATCCATCTATCCACTCATACATCTACCCCAGTGGTTCTCAATTTTCCTAATCCAACAGCTCTTTAATGCAGTTCCTGTCATGACCCACAGGTTGAGGACTGCTGATCTATCCACTCAACAATCCATCCATCCATCCATCCACTCATTCATCTATCCACCTAACCACCCACCCATTCACTGATCTATTACTCTATCTATCCACCCACTCATCTACTAATCCATTCACACACTTATCTATCCATCTATTTATTCATCCATCTATCCTCCACTCATTCATCCCTTTATCTACTAATCTATCCATCCACTCACTATCCATCCATCCATAAATCCATAATCCACTTATCCATCCATCCATCCATCCATCCACCTACCCATTCATCCATCCACCCATCCATCCACCTACCATCCATCCATCCACCCATCCATCCATCCACATATCCATTCACTCATCCATCCATCCATCCATCCATCTATCCATCCACTCATCCATCCA